GTTGATTTTGAGCACAGATGGAGGCGTATCTGTGTCTGTGAACATTTGAACGTATCATTTTTTCCTAAGCATTGACGTCTGGCTTACAGGAGGCTTTGTCCTCTGGACTGCAGGGTCTCTATAAAGATAGTATCTGTTCCATCTGAGGAGTTGCTCTGCTGATCAACCCATCTTATCTGTTCGGACAGCATTTCATCTGCTTCACCTCTTTCCAACCTGTCACCTTCTTCTTTCTTTTCTTTTTTAACACTTTGCCCCCTTTCCTCCCACCTCCTTACACCTCCTATCCTGCGACCTTTCCTCCTTGCCGTCCCACCATGAACTCCCTCGTCTTTCTTCTTTTGTCATTTCCTCCCTTCGCTGTGATCTTGAGTTACGGCTGGGTCGTGTTTTTTCTCTGCACCTCTGTTGTTTTCTCCATGTTTCGCCCTCCCCATCCTCCCGTCTCTACACCGCCTTCGCCGTGCTTTGTCGGCAAGGCGACCCAGACTCAGACACAAACAGGCGTATTCCGACAACTGCATGTGTATATACACAGCTGTGGCTGCAGATTGCCAGAGAGAACAAGAGAGAAGGGAGATCATGCTCTGTTTGCTGGGGTGAACACATTGCCTGAGGCCCCAGCAGCAGAGAATGAAAGCTTTCACCTGTGAGATATTGAATGTGCATTTATGGACTACATTGTGCACATGAACTGTTTGTTAGAGTGTGTCTGTGTGTGCTGGATGCTTTCTTGTAATATAGCTGCAGTAATATCAGGTTTTGGAGCTGTTTTTTTTTTTTTTCTTCTCTATTTTGTTCAAAATACAGAATCCTTTCCTCTGAGATTGGTTTGTCATTTTGTCCTGAAAAAGTTGTATCACTCTTTTCCCCGTTTTGCAGGTTTTTATTTTATTTTTAAGAAAGTCAAAGCATTTCTTGCTCATTTTATAAGTTTAAATTCATTCAAGGATTGAAAAATGTTAATGTCTGTTTGTTTTAACGAAAGTTTAGACCCAGTTCTTTGAAAACAAAATGAAAAGGTGAAAAAACAAGAACAAATGGAGCTTTTGAATGCTTCTTAAAGATGATCCAGCAGGATAAGGTTTCCCTTTTTACGTCTCTCTGAATCCTCCATGTTGACCTGTTCTTCTCCCTCCTCCAATCACCGGATGGATTCTACACTCTGAGCAGAGGTTTAAGTTGGCGTTTGGGTGTATAGAGACTCTGGCTGTGTGGAAGAGAATCTCCTGAGTTCTGTGCATAATCCAAACAGCTCTACTTGCGTATTCTAGCATGTGAGCCGGTCTTTATGCTGAGTCTGCTCTGTTTTTCCCTGGAGCTCCAATCAGTTCTCATGCCTGCGGGTCTACAGTCAGACAAGTTAAGAAAGATCAGTGCCAACGGTGATTGACAGCGACAACTGTTCCTCCGCGGCCGCACCATCTGATATGTCAAACCTTCATCACCCCAAAGCGTATCATTATCTTCATTTAATCTGTCTCATATCAATCTAGAAAGACTTTGCTGTGATATAAAAACTGAGACCAAGATTAGTTGTTTATTTTTTCATGTGACAGATAAATCTATAACAGGGAGAAATGTTACAGATAGAGAAAATAAAAAACGTTGCAATAACCTGGTGCAGACCCTAAACTTAATTAATACTTAATTAAAGCATTTATAATTGATTCTGTCAACATGTCCCAAATTATCCCAATTTCCTTGCAGACGTTTCCTAAATCTATGAAATTCTGGAACATATCTCTATCTCCATTTTCATTTAAAATGTCGTTAACCAATAAACTGTTGTTCCACCAAATTAGCATCTTCATACGGCGACTATAAGGTTACTGTTTATGTGTATCTGGAAGGCTAGACCCTCCAAAGGGTTAAATAACAGCAGCTCAAATCTTTTTTCTTTTTTCAGGCCCTTAAAATAATTTCTGGTAATGTTTGCGTGGTCAGTCATCAGGTTAAAACAAAGTTTCCTCCCATGGAGTCATTTTTTTTTTTTTTTAAGGGGATCTATATTCACTGTTTTTGCCGAAGGTGCCAACAAAAATCATTTGGCTCAAATATTACAGCTATAACACATTAATATAAGTGTAATCTATTTTTAGCACAATGTCAAAGACAAAAGTTTCCTAAATAAGAAGGTTTAGAATCTGATGTGTTTTTTTTCCTCCTGATTGGATCTATAATCTTATTATATGATAAATATCTGATGGATTTTATAATTTTTCCCTCTAAGTAAATCCCCACATCTGTACCTTGGTTTACTTCAATAACAGCCTACGGCCAATTAAAAATAACAGCTGAAACTCCAAAATAACTGCCTCACTGCGTAGTAAACAAGTGGACCAGACAAACCCGCCCTAACAAGTATCCGTTACGAGTTTCTGTGTCTCTGGAGAGCGGAAAACCAAACCGTCTGACACAAGCAAGGAAGCAGAAATGAGAATAAAAGAAAAAATATAAAAAAAACACAATATGATTTTATCAAACAGCAAAAAAAGAACAACAGCAACGAAATAATGAAAAACAGCCTGATAACAAAAACCCATAAATATCATAAAAACAAAACCCAACATTTCTGTTTAATAAATAACAAACAAAGCAGAAGTTAAACATGAAACTCCAAAGCCTTAAACAATATATTATATAAATTACAAATAAGATTATGGTTCATGTTGCATCCAGTCTTGCATCTAGAAATAAACTGTTAATTTCAGCTTTATAAATCTTATGACTGTTGCGAAAAATACTTAATATTTTGCGAGGAGTTAGATTTAGGATAATTAGAACTAAATAAATAAAGTCTGGCCTTTTAATTTACCTTTCTTCTTCTTTATGTGGGATTATTAAGCTTCATATTAATAAAAGTAATCATTAAAACAAACAAAACAGAACATGATTTTGTTATTTATTTATTTATTTTAAAAGCATTAATAGGTAATAAATACTCCTTTAGCTTCAAAACATTTTAAGTTTTGACCTCTAGGAAAACAAAATGAAGTCTTTTAGTCCTGCTTCTATTGGCTTCTATTATCTCTACTTATTTAAACAGAAGTTCAATTGAATTATAAACCGTTTCAACAGACATTATACTTTTCTAACTAATTCAGCTCAATTCTATTCAGTTTATTTCTATAGCTCCAATTCACATCATGTCATCTCAGGTCACTTTATAGATCCAGATCAACCAGATCATCCAGTCAGATTGATTCAAAGTTTTCTATCTAAGGAAAACCAGCTGATTGCATCGACTCATTG